AGGATTTAGCTAGACAAAGACTACAATTTCAGAAAGATTTGAGTGACAGGTATATAACTGAATGCTATTACAATGAATGTTGGGATGAACAAGTTGGGTAACTAAATTACTTACCAATACAAAACACTGGCCATATGTTTAACAAAAGTTAAAAGACGTTATAGTGAAAAGGTTACAGTGACCTATATGTATATGACTTAAATAAAAAAGCTTGTTTTCTGATGGCCTTCTTACATAAGGTCTTCCTCCACCAGTAAATCTGGAACATCGCGATATGACCTATACAGTGTCGATGTGACGTTAAACCCAAACAAACAAACAAACAAAACTATTCTCTTATGAGGTGAAATTACTGATACGAAAAAGTGTAAATTTACTCAAAGTTAACTAAGATTTCATAACTTAACTTACTAAAATATATGTCTCCATTGATAAGGGATAGAAATACAGTATTTCGTTTATTTACTGGCTCAGTTTTTCACTTGTCCAAACACAAGTTCTATGGAAAAACCTTATTTGTCTGAAGGCATAAATTAAAGTCGAGCTTACCTGATTTCCACTGTGAATGATATATTCTTTTATACCTATGGACCGACACTTTGTGCCGGGTTGGATTAGACCTGTGTCCTCCCTTTGAATAAACTAGTGCAGATGACCTCTTGGGAGTTTTCCCCACTAGTTTTTTCTTTTACTGACAGTAATTGTGAGACGGAAACCAAAGAAAAAAAAGAAAGGAATATAAGGCACATGTCGGAAAAACACTTGTTAAAAGAGAGGGAGTTTGTAGAAAGATGAAGTTCATGTTCCCAGACTTGAATTCAACAATCACAGAAATGTTTTTATAAACAATTTGTCCCGTGTGATGATGTATATCCTATAAACACCTAGTGTACGTAAAGATCCACTTGTTACATGCCGGTACCCATCATTCGTTACCTACATTACTGATGAGACCTGGCTGGTTCCCGTCTGTCAGTTCCGACATTACTGACGAGGGAGGGGATATAAACAATATCAGAATTTACTGCCAGGGAAATATGAACAAACTTGAAACACTGTGAAAACATTTATGCTTTTATAATCATCAGTAACTGTAGAAAAAATGTTATTTCAAACAAACTTGGTTTACTTTGTAATGCCTTTCATTTTAATGGTTAGAGTCACAAAGATCAGACACAAATAAACTCTCTGGTGCCTGATTCTGTAAACAGCAGACGGAAACTACAGCAGACGGAATCTACTAAACGTTTTGGTCTGTGAAGGGAAAATTTCTGACATACATTAATTAAAACCACCAACAAAGTAGACCATACACTATCACCATAGTGCAATAACTGATTAACTCCTATTAAATTTAGAATAAGACTTAACCCGTTACTGCACTAAAGTGACAATATGTTGTTACTTAGCTAAGCTAATTATTGTTGATGCTTAGAGTTGATTTAAATGAATCAAAGTAAGTCAAGAAAAAGAATGGGTCTATTATAAATTATGAAAGCCGTAAAAATTTTTTGGTTTTAAAAAAATAAGTTTTTTGGGTTGTTATGGGCCCTTGAAAAAAAAAGTACTTTTTGCCCGTTTTATGATTTTCCTGCACTTTTTACACATGTATACATGCAAAATAGCCATGTCTCTATAATCATTCTTTTCATCTGTCTGTTTCCGGGCCTCTTCTTCACAAACTAATCTGGACAACTTCTTCAAAATTGTGCAAAATTTTATCAAACAAATATCAGTTTTCCAAGTCTAGTTGTGATAATTTTGAATTTTCCAAAAAAATATTTTTTAAAAATTTTTATTTTTATTTTTATGTTTTTTAAAATATTTTTTAAATTCTTCTTTTGGGGTATACCCCTTTGATTTGATTTGGAACCCTTAAGATTTTTGGGATTTTTTGGGGAAAAAAAAAACCTTTAAGTTTTTTGTTGTTTTCCCCCTTTGGGAAAAAAGGATTTTTGGGTGAGTTATTTGGCCCCTTTAATAAAAAAAAATTTTTTGGCCTGTAATGATTTCCCTGCCCCATGCTACAAAAATAGGCGCCACATATAGGGAACAAACTGTTCTATCACCCCTCAATACAACTGCTTAATTGGTTTCTAATCATAAGGCAGACAATTGTGATCACTGATCACTCTTGTGAATGATTAACTGCTGGTACAGTACATTATACAAATTTGAGAGGTTATGGGTCGAGTATATTCAAGTCAATCATGTAATTCGGTAAACATTTGAAGTACTATAAAAACTTAATTGTTTCTAGCCCTTAAAGATAATTACTCACTGATAAAAATGCTTTATATCATTTACAAGTGCTCTTTTTCAAGTTTTAAGACAACCAAGAGGGTGACAAGAGAGGAGGTTTTTGAACAGCATGATTTGATTAAACTGTTGAAGTACAAATAGTGTAAATAAAATGAGAGAATTTACGTGCAACAAATTTTGTCTATACATTTTTTGTTGACTTGGTGGTCTATTTTTTTTTATTTGAGACTGTAAAATTTATGAAAAAAAACTGAATATTAGAAAAATTTTCATTGGTCATTTTTAAATTGCAAACTGAAATCCTTGAATTTCATTGGCCATTCTAAAATTAGTATAATAATCTAAAGGATCTTTCTGAAAAGAATACAAGTCCAATTTATAAAATAATCTAAAGGAGTATCGGAAACAGTCCTATCCTAGTTAAATTTCTAAGATATTGAGATCAATTAATAAATATTTTACACTAGCACTTTAAAAATATTCATTAATTCTCTTAGGTGAAAATCTTACTGCAATAAGGATTTACAAAGCTATAAATAAATATATATTAATTATAATATATATAAATTAAATATAAATATTTATAAATGACATTCTAAAATGACAAGACAACCAATAACGTCCACAATCCTGAAAAAGCATGTGCATACTGAAAGACACCATGCAAGTAAATGCAGTTTTATCTTTTCCAAGTAGTTAAAGATACTTCTTGTTTGGGCCAGAGGGGGGGGGGAGGGGCTTGTAACACCTGTATACTATAAAAATATTTCATTGTAGAAGTGTAGGTTTTTTTTTTTTTAAAATATTTCTGCTAATATCAGTGGCAGAGTGGTTAAGAATAACATTGATTTCAAAATACTTGCCCTTACCGCTGTGGGTTTGAATCTTGCTTAGCACTATACATTCATTCATGTTAAGAAGCTATCCTGTTCAGTTGATGGTTCTGTTGAGTTGCCCATTTGTGCCTGACATAATGAATTCTCCACCAGTAAAGCTAAAATGGATGTCGCCATATGACGTCTGCTGTGTTGGTTTGACGTAAGAAAAAAAAAAATGCTGTTTCGCTGTTTAAAACATATTTTTTTTAGAATTTGACCTAATTTCATGTTCCTTTGTATATACATGTAGTTAAAACACCTAGATAATAAGATCATGGGTAATATATCTAATACACAGATATTAATTACAAATTTCCGACACTGTGTCCCGACACGGGACGGACATATTAGGTCCAGCATCAGAGTTAATGTGTCGCAGTTACATAGGATATGGGAAGCATTTAACATTTAACGGAGAGGTTAAGTTTCAGTGATACTATATTGATACGGGTTAATTTAGTCTTTTATTTCATTTAAATGGGTCCGGTTTTACACATGATAGTATATATTGAGTTTTACGTTTCAAATTAATTTGTTGACTTTGATATAACCTGATCTACTTTGATGTTAGTTGATACAGATTAATAAATATTTGTCCACCCGTAACCCTCTGAATTTGTGTAACGGCATTGCCCAGCTTTGAATTTGGATCAGTCCATTTAAAGTGTAAGGTGTTTATAAATATCAAAATTTGAAAATGAAGAGTCAGGTCAGACTGTGCGGATGCTGGCATAATTCTAAACCAGTTATAATTTTAAACGGGTTACAGTGGCTAATCACTTACGGTTCAAATTCTCCTGAGAAGGTTAAGGAATAAAATGATATGCAGAATTCTGTATTCAGTGCAAAATATTTTCATGTTGTTTTTTTTTTTTAACAGAAAGCCTCCATATGTATCAGCAGCTAGATCTTCAAAAGAAATCTTGTTGATCAAATGAAACATCTTGTTTGCCCTACGCGAGTGTTATCATGTTTTTTGTCCTCCTGTTTATTTTTCTATAAGAAAATATTTTTAAAAAAACACTTTTGAACAAAAAACAAGATAGAATAAAATTTAGATATTTAATATTTCATGTTAAAATATGCAGTTTGTTCAAATGCAACATATGTGACCTGGAGGCAAGATCATTTGAGTGATTTTTCCAATTATATCATTCCACAGGCCTGAATAAACAAGTTTTGTGCGCTTATGATGATATATTCCTGCCTCTTTATGTGTGCAAGATCATTAAACAAAATCACTATGTCATATCTTGCAAATGTACATCATTTATTGAGATAGCAAGCTCCTGCTACTTTCTGTCACTGTACCGTTTTTGGGAGTGTAAATTCATACATAACGTCCCGGATGTCTGGGATTGTCCCAAAAATAAAGTATCTGTCCCGGAGATGTCCCAGAGATGATTTATGTCATGGTAAAAATAAAAATCAAGAATAATCTATTTTGCAGCCAAAAAATTTTACATTTTTATATAATCTTAGAGTCAAGTTATCATGTTAACTATTCTAGAACGCTAACAACTGTTAGAACAATTATCGTCATACAGAAAATGGTGACACTAATCCTTTGATTGGTAAATCTATGTGCCCCTTCCAACTAACAACTTATTGGCAATTTAAGCTAAAAATATACCATAGTTTTAGCTAAAAAGATTTTTGTGATAACAGGAAGTTGGCTCATTTACATGTATACATGTTGCTGATGGCCTTATAAACAATCACAATTATATCATTTTAAGCCAGATATTTCAGTATTTCCAGTGTGACCATTGTTACATCTTTATAAAATTCTATTTTTAAACACTCAGGTTTCAGTACTCAACGCCCAGTGTTAAATTTTTTATAATTTTCTATTTTCAGACTCTGTTAAGGATATGGGACTGTTTTCTGTTGGAAGGTCCAAAAGTTTTATTTCGATTTTCTCTCGCTATATTAAAACTTCACGAGAAGGACATTCTGCAGAAGACGGACACGATGGGGATCATGAAACACCTCAAAGCCTGCGCGAAACTGACGTATGATGTAGAGGGATTGGTTAAGGTAATTATGCTAAAAAGCCGTGGCCCAGTGTATAAGGTGTCTGCCACTCAAACCTAGAGACCGTGGGTTTGAGCCCTAACAGGGGTCATGACTATATTGCCTCAGTACTGGTTAGTTCCAGGAAGCCGACTCCTCATAAAACCGGACAGTAATTTATGTGTCAACTTTCTATGTATTTTAATGTGTACTAAGATACTCCCAACAGGTGACATGTACTGGTTAGTTCAAGGAAACAGACTCAAGATTTTAGGATTCAAATAAGCTAAGTGTACAAGCTTTCATCAGAAAAAAATCCAAAAAATACAACATAAGGTGATTTAGAGTCTTAAGGTTATATATGCATGGCTATTATATGTATAAATGTGAACAATTTGCAGTAAAGGGGGCCTGAAAAAAAAAGATTCTTAAGGTTAGATTCATCTTCTTTGAAAATGTTGGCTTACATGACTTGAACAATTTATCTGTCATAAAAAAGTGATCATGATTTATCTCCCTTTCTGCAATCATGATTTATCTCTCTTTTCAGTGATCATGATTTATCTCCCTTTCTGTAATCATTATTTATCTCCCTTTCAGTGATCATAATTTATCTCCCTTTCAGTAATCATGATTTATCTCCCTTTCAGTGATCATGATTTATCTCCCTTTCAGTAATCATGATTTATCTCCATTTCAGTGATCATAATTTATATCCCTTTCAGTGATCATGAATTATCTCCCTTTCAGTTATCATCATTTATCTCCCTTTCATTGATAATGATTTATCTCCCTTTCAGTGACCATGATTTATCTCCCTTTCAGTAATCATGATTTATCTCCCTTTCAGTAATCATGATTTATCTCATTTTCATTAATCATGATTGATCTCCCTTTCAGTAATCATGATTTATCTCCCTTTCAGCTGGCTTTTGAAGGACTGAAACCGTTTCCAAAGCGTAAAGATATTATCTCAAAACAGACGTGTTATCTGAATGCATTGAAGGAGAAATATAAGAAGAAAGAATTACAGAGACTGGCCTTTGCTGAGAGAGAACAACTTGTAAGTATCTGAGCTGTGTCATGACAAAACCAAGGTAATGGGTTTGCGACCAGCATGGATCCAGACCAGCCTGCGCATCCGCGCAGTCTGATCAGGATCCATGCTGTTCGCTATCAGTTTCTCTACTTGTAATAGGGTTTGTAAGCGAACAGTATGGATCCTGATCAGACTGCGCAGATGCGCAGACTGGTCTGGATCCATGCTGGTCGCAAACCCATTATGTTGGTTTTGTCATGACACAGCTCATCTTAACTATTAACTTAGGGGTGTCATGGTTAGCAAAACTGCGTAACTTAACCGTTTCAGTGCCATAAGGATGGCATATGCAGTCCTTATTATTTTCGGAGTATTTGCCATATGGACGGCTTTTGCCGTTTCTATAATAATAATTATAATAATAATAATAAAGATACAGATAATTATACCATTGACAATAATTATTATTATACTAGCAGATTTGGAAATAAATATAACTATTATAATACTAATAACAAATAATAAAATATTTTTTTAGAATTTAAACATTAACTTTGATAAGACAGCATATTTTGTTCGTATTTTGTTATACTCGACAATTATTACAAAACATTATCTGATTATGGAGAAAAAGTTGTCCGTTAGAATCGTTACTTATGTACATTCAAAACTTTAAACATAAAAAATAGAAAATTGGAAAAAGACAAATCAAATATAAAATTATGAGAAAAACACTGCTCTTGTTGAAATATTGTTATTGTCAAAGGTTTATTTGTAATTTTGAAATGCCTTGTTTCACTGTATATTTTTTTTGTGCACTTTATATAATTACATTTGTATTGTCATTTTCTATTGCAATATCAAAATAATTATGTTAATGTTCCTGCATAATATTTCATGTTATTCACAACTATATGATTGTAAATATGTACATTTTATGAGGCCCACAGGGTAGATTACCTTAGATGCAACTGTGTAGCCTCTTTAAATAAAGACTTTATTATTATTTTTATTATTACATTATAAGATAGCATGCAATTGGGAAAAAACACATTTTGAAATTCAATAAAATGTAATATATCTTGTCATAAAGAAACAAAGTTAATTTTAAAACCCAACCTTAAATTTCTTCAGCTGTTAGTCTTATTTTATATTTGTAGTATATGAACATGGAGACAGAGTGTGGACCTTTTCTTGGCATAGAATGTGCAGTCGCCTCCCTTGAAGGTAAATTCACCTTTTGTATTTCATTTTTTTCTCCATCAAGACAATAATCATTGCCTCTCTATGTCATGCCACCAACACTTTGGGACCACAATGGAAATAAGGTTTTACCCTTTATTGTGTTATCCTCGGCGTGGATGTCATTGTTGTTTTTGCCCTCATGTTGCTGTTATGTTATGTCTCATTCCATGTGTTATATAACCATGTATGTGTACATTATACTAAAATAAATCTCATCTTATCTTATCTTATCTTTAAATATCAATTACATTTATCTTCACTTTTATAATATTATATCTCCTGATCACATAATGTTAAGGGGGGCTATACTGGGTTAATTCATTATCTCCTTCCTGGCTATTTAAAAAAACAGCAATTTTTACTCTTAATAAAATCTAATCTATTTCCTGGATAAAATGTTAAGGCTGTTTTTGCGCCTCTATGGCCCATTGTTTAACATTGCCAAAATTCAAATCATTTGGCCCTCTTACCAGTGGGTTCAAATTCTGTCATGGACTTTGGATTCTTTTAAGTGTGGAGGCCATCCGGCTACCTTTAAGAAGGTCAAGGTCAGTACAGGTGCTCATTCTGAAATACAAATGTCAAGGTGCACCAGTCCTGAGGTCTTCCTCCACCAGTAAAGCCAGAAATTCACCATATGACCTATACTGTGTTGGTGTGACGAAAAACCCAATCAAACAAAAGTGCTTGTGAGAGATGAATAAAAAAGAAACCTTGTTTACTATGTGACATTTCAGGGAAGGTTTGGTTTTGTTATGGTGACCAGCAAGTTGGAAGATTGTCATATGTTTCCTGTGATACTGGAACTATGTGTAACACAGATTTTAAGGTAATGTGTAACACCGTTTTAAAGGCTATAATTATGTTACACATATTTAAGGTAATAAACAAAAAAACAAAAACTTTAAGGTATTGTAATAAGGCTATAATTATGTAACACTTAATATTCTTATTTGTCTTAAATATTTTAAAGTAATGTGTAACACAAGTTTGAAGGTACATGGTAATGTGTAAAACAGATTTTTAAGAATGTTCTGACACAGAAATGTGTAACACATGTTTAAAAATAATGTGTAACACATGTTTTGAAATAATGTGTAACACAGATTTTTAAGGTAATGCATAACACAGATTAAAAGATAATGTATAAAACAAATTTAAAAATAATGTGTAACAAAGGTTTTAAGGTAATGTGTTACTCAAGATTTAAGAAAATGTGTAACACAGATTTTAAGGTAATGTGTAACACTGATTTTAAGATAATGTGTAACACAGATTTTAAGGTAATGTGCAACACTGATTTTAAGATAATGTGTAACACAGATTTTAAGGTAATGTGCAACACTGATTTTAAGATAATGTGTAACACAGATTTTAAGGTAATATGCAACACTGATTTTAAGATAATGTGTAACACAGATTTTAAAATAATGTGTCTCACATATTTTGAAATAAGGCCAACATTTTTTTATAAAATGTTTTACGGGACCGCCGACCGTATTTTTAGAGAAAATCAAATAAAAATAAAAGTTAATATAAGAACTTTTATTTTCATTTTGCCGCCGACCTCTCTTACCCACTTCTGTCAAAATTAAAAGTTAATTGGTATGGAACACGTTTTTCACTTTAGTTGTTAACGATACTTAACGGTAGAATCTCGGAACTTGCTTAAAACAACTGACAAAAGTTAGCCCTTTGATGTTTACAAGAATGTTACAAAAGGCGTATCAAAAGGGAAGGGCAATAACTTTACAAGCTTGTAATAAATTTGCCCGTGTGAATATCGCGCGACACCGGGTCAGTCACGGAAGTTCGATTTTTTCGAAACTTGTTTTCAACACAACTATGGCAATTTGAGTAATAAATATTAGAGCATTTAATCAAACATGATAGCCTGTAAAGCTGTTAGAAAGCACGACTGGTTATTAACATCCATTGCCTAAGTTGAATTACCTTCACTGTCAGAACAGTTGTAAAAAATTAAATGGGCACAGGATCAAAGTCGTTGATCGACTATGGTGTCAAAATGAAATATTACTGGATTTACCACGGACCATGAGAATACTTCCACACACGAAAATTTAGACTCCTGTTTAGGTTTTATAAAGAAATATAAGTTAAATTTACTTAGACAGATTGAGAAAAATGAGTAACAAATGAGTTCTACTTACATTGTAGATTTATTGTAAGTAAATTGATAGTGAAAACTTTTTATTATGAATCATTGAAAACAATTGAATAATTTATTATACGAAAATAATAAATTCCTGAAAGTTGTTTGGTGGACAGATTTTTGTTGTTGTCTTGTTGAAATACAAGGCTTCTTTATAATTGAACACGGTCATCTATAACATTTATTAAGTTAATATTAGTATCATGACAGGTAGTAATGTGTATTTTTAGAAGTTTTTTACTAGATCAATATTGAGGAAATTGGTCTTTTTTCAATGTAAGATTATGACTATGAGCATAAGTCCTCTAAATTGACATTTCTGTAAAAACTGCCTATAATAAATTCTCAACAGAAAACTCTGATTTTGTAACAATGTATGCCATTTGATTTTCTATTTACTGTCAATTGCTTTCATTTTACTAATTATTTGAAATATGAATAATTTTCAGAAATTGCAATTTTTTTGCACATACAGAACTTACTCTCTTAAAGATAATTTGAAGTTGTTGATTCAATTTACCTTGTGAAACTGACATTGTACATTATTATGTTTGTACCTCTGTGAATGAATCACTCTCCCTTTGTGGTGTTGTGGATTAGAATCCTGTCAGGAAGTTAATTTGGATTCCCAGTGAGGAAACTATCAGTAAGCTTATGATAGGTAGGTGGTTCTACCTGGTTGCAAGCTTGTGTCAGTAAAGCTTGAGAGTGGCAATACGACATTGTTTGATTACTCTTGAAATGAAGGAACTAAACAATGAATTTGGAGTTGTGTGGCATGTTTGCCCTAAACGTGAAAAGACAAAACTAATAGAAACTAGATCAGCATTTAATAGCTACTAAAAACAAAAGCAAAAGTGACTTAAAACATTTTTTTTTTCAATTATTTTGTTTAAAATTATGTCAAAAATACTTCAAAACTATAAAATCATTGATTTTATTTACAAAAAAATCTGTTTTTGGAGTCTTAAAAAAAGTGTTTGAAAATAAAAATTTTTAACCTCTTTTATCATTTTATTTTTATTTTGTGGTCGACTGATAAAAAAATTGAATTTTATTTTTATTTTTATTTATCCCCCCCGACCCAATTTTTTAAAAAAATATCCCGTAAAACATTTAATAAAAAAATGTTGGCCTAATATGTAACGCATATTTTAAGATAAGTGTAACACAGATTTTAAAATAATATGTAACACATATTTGAAAATAATGTATAACACAGATTTTAAGGTAATTTGTAACACAGATTTCAAAGTAATTAGTGACACATCGGCTTTTGTGATCAACATAGCGCTATGTTTGACCTCACTTTAACAATTACAAGATACACACATAAATACAAACATGAAATAGGATTAGAATGTTTCTCAAATACATGTTTTAAGCTTGAAAAGGGGAATCTTGGATTAAAAAACTAGGTCACTGGGTCAAGGTTAAACATGAATTTGATCATTTGACATATTTGATCTGGGTACAAGTGCATGTATTTGTTAAATTAATAAACAGGCCAAGTTAAGTTTTTGTTTATACAAAATTTATTTTAGTTTGATTGTGTATGAAGCTGTGAGCTTTATATAACCAACCTACTGAGCAATACTTGTGTTATAAAAGTCAACAGTTCTCCCCAGAAAGGTTTTGAACCCACATAGCTAGCAATCCTTAGATTACTAGTCTAACAGGTTAACCACTCAGCCATGCTGCCACAGATTTATAAAGTGTTAAATATCGGTACATGAATTTCAAAAATTGTATTAATGTTTTAAATTTCAGCTTGATTCCCGGCTAATGTGTATGTATTTCATGGGCCAAGATGAATTGTTGTTGGGAACCATCTCCTGGATGCTAGTGTCTGTCGACATACATAAACATGAACAGATCTGGCAGATACAACTCCACGACGCTATATTGTCTGTGTGTTGCTATGACGATGAGGACGTCATGGCAACAAGAATTTTCTCCGGATTGGCCGATGGTACGATAGCTGTATCCGAGGTATTGAAATCAGATTTTTGATACTGGTTAAGGTAGTGTGTTACTGCAAATTGCTTTCCCGCCAAAAAAATTCTTACATTGGCCAATATCGTAATAAATCGGTCATTTCCAGAACGTTATTTTTCACAATCTTTGGTATTCAATGATTTTTAACCATTTATAACCAGAATTTAGTATATACGATAATGGATTAGTGATTGTATTAATCTAATGCCCAAGGTTTTGAAAAAAATAATGTTCCAGAAATAATTATCCGATATGCTACGATATTGGCCGATGTTAGAATGCAATATTTTCATGATTGGCGTAGCCAGGAGTGAATATAGAATAGCTGGTGCTCACAAATGAAATATATTTCAACCTTATATGTAAAACAAATAAATTTTCTTTTTATTTCATGCTTTATAAGTTATTTTAATTTTTTTTACTGATTTTGCTGCATAACCTTGTGCATTCTCCTTTATGACATCATCACACCATGACATCACATCATCAATTTTGAAATCTAGTTCTGTTAAATTTCTCTAATTTTGTTACATTTTTAACATGATGTTTGATTACATTGTCTTTCTTTACCTAAAGAAGCAAAATTTACATATGACGGATTCCATGAGGAGACTTAAATTTATTATAATAGCTAAATATGAAATGGTAACCTTTTTCTTTTATTTCAGAAACCATTTGACAGAACGGAGCCTAATGTAGATGTTATGTATGTTGCGATTGGTCAAGCTCCTGTCACATGTCTCATGTTGCTAGGAGACCAAATATGGTGTGCAAGTGGGAACACTGTAGCTGTTATACATGCAAAGTATGTCAAATTTTCATTGAGCATAACACAATCTGGGTTGCTAAGTAAATCAAGCATCTTTGAACAAATAGTAGTGTGTCTAGTTGCTAAGTAACCAAGTATGAATAAATCAATAGTAGCATGACTTGGTTGCTAAGTAACCAAGAATATTTGAACCAATAGTAGCTTGCCTTGGTTGCTAAGGAACCAAGTATGTTTGAACCAATAGAAACATGCTTATAAAAAGGCAAAAAATGTTTGAAGCAATGGTAGCATGCCTTAAATGCTAAGTAACCCAAGAATATTTAAACAAATAGTACCATCTCTTTATTGCTAAGTAACTTTTATACATATTATCAATTCTTGTCATATTATCAATACTTTTTAAACAACTACTTAAAATAACAGAATTTTTATATTTGTATTATAGAACATTGGATGCCATGGACACATTTTCAGTGTCTGTAAATCCCTACGATCATATTTTATCATTGATACCCAGCGAGTACGGGATCTGGGTATCTTTACGAGGCTCCTCCATCCTCGAGCTCTGGGATCCTCGAACGCTCAACTGTCGTATGCTGTATGACACACGGACAGACAGATATCCCCAACTCCGAAAGGTGCGTTGCTTTTGCTTCTATTTCTGACTTATCATGGAAATTTTCAATTATTTATCAGTTGTAAAGACAGCGTCTTGTTGGTTATATCTCCTGAAGGCAAGAATGTGCAAATTGCACAAAAGTAATGTCGAAACTTTGCAATGACAAAAACAAAATTAATAACAAGTAAAAGATAAGTATAAAGATACAAGTATTTTATTCTAAATCAAATTAAACGAAATTAAAAAAGCACAATCATACACCTATAATAACATTATACTTTAACCAGCATTACAAATTTTTCAAGAAATATGATTACCTTTTTTTAGATCATTTGTTATATCGATGACCTGACTACCGTTTTGAGTGACTTTTGTGTTCCGTTAAAATTAAAAATTACATTAGTATATTTACATTTAAAACATAGCTTTTTTTCATATGCGGTAAACCTTAGACATATGCAAAACTTCTAGTATAGTATAACACTTAAGAAGGAAGGAGTTAATATAAGATTCTGCTACTTTAAATGAGGAAACCATCGTTTCTTGTGTGCATCATTCACACTGTTAAAAATGGTCTCATTCACAATTAATCAATTTTTTTTTTTAATCAAAGTTGAGCTTATTAAACAGACAGATGGGTACAGTTTAATATCATAAAGTTACAAAAGTTTGTCTTGAGCCCTTTAAGTGTATAAAGCTATATTTTTGATGTCTTTGGACTTCAAAAATTTCATTTATATCATTATTTAAATAAGCTAAAGAATATTTAAAATGAAAGAAATCCAATGTAATATCTTACTTACAGCGAATGGTATATGCACAAAATAATCAATAAACCAGTTAAAAATAGTAGCATGAACATTTTATTCCCATTTGCATATGATATTCATGAGTGTTAAAATTAAAGATACCGACATTCTGTGTTAAAATTCTTTTGTATAATGCTAATAATATCATGAATGTGATTTAATTTTACTGTTTTTAAATTCTCAATTTTTTTCCCCGAATATTATGATATAGGTTTATATATACGTACACATTAATTGTATTAATTATATTCCAAGACACTTACAACTTTACGGCTTGTTATTTTATACATTGTTCATATCTTTTTTTCAAACAAAATGATTTTTCTAGGAGGATGATACATATTTCAATCGAGCGCGCATCACCTCTATGTTAGCCAATGGGAGCAAAGTGTGGGTAGGAACAGGGGAGGGAAATCTGATGGTTTACGAGATATTAGAGTCAGCACAGTTAAAAACTCCAACAGAGTTATCTCCCTCGGTAGAAACGTCTTCTAGTTTGTCGTACATCGTAAGACCGGAAAAACAGAAAGGTGGGTAAATCGAACCTGTGTTTTTAGCTATTTTGCTTATTGAGAGCTTTTAATGACTGTTACAATTACTGTGAATTTACTTAAATTTGTTGGTAAAAAAATCTGTAGTTTTGTCAAAAAAGATTTTTTTGTGAACTCTTCATTTAGTGGATTGCCTGTTTGTCCAAAAATGTATAATGCTAATAACAATTGTTCAGCAGAGCCAGACGAAATAAAATGTGTTGCATCTTCGTGGATTGACCTATCCATGAAAACCGTGTAAATATGTGCCCTACAAATAAAAACAATGTAAAACACCAAGTGGGTAAATTAAATTTTTTGCCCGTACAACGAACACACCAAACAATGTATATGGTTTGACATTGTGTTAATTCATACAACAGCCCTTCTGATTTTGACAGCCCTTCTGATTTTTAACATGTACAAGTAAGTAGAAATTAGGTAAATAAATAAATATAAAAATGTTTAAAAATATTTAATTAAACAAAAAGAGAAATTTATACCTTGATTGATTTCTTGTAATAATGTAGATATCATAGACGACTTAAAAACAAAGCCTTGCTTCGGAAATACTGCCAGGCTAGCCTGAAAGTCTTTAAGGATAAACCTGTGCTGCATTGAACACATTCATGCTAGCCTGAGTATCTGAAATAACAAAACTGTAATGTAGGAATACAGCCAGGCTAGCCTGAGTATTTGGAATAACAAAACTGTAATGTAGGAATACAGCCAGGCTAGCCTGAGTATTTGGAGTAACAAAACTGTAATGTAGGAATACAGCCAGGCTAGCCTGAGTATTTGGAATAAAAAAACTGTAATGTAGGAATACAGCCAGGCTAGCCTGAGTATTTGGAATAACAAAACTGTAATGTAGGAATACAGCCAGGCTAGCCTGAGTATTTGGAATAAAAAACTGTAATGTAGGAATACAGGCAGGCTAGCCTGAACATCTGTTATAACAGTCCTATGCTGCATGGAACACTGCCAGGCTAGCTTTAGCATATATGCAGTCTGACAGCACTTTAATTGGTGTTGTTGATAGTATCAATATGTTTTTACTAAAATAGACTGTTCAAAATCCGAAACATTGGTAAATCAATTTGAGAAATTTAGTGGTGTTTTAGAATATAGTGCTGTAAGGCTTATGATAATAATTAATAATGTTTCTTACATTTTTTACTTCAGATTTACATGGCAATGAATTGGCGTCAAAGTTGAGGAAAGTTTACCATTTAGATAATGTAGAATATTCCGACGATGGCAGGAAGTCAGAAAAAGGTACATGCCATTTCAATTTTTTTTTTCTGAATGTTTAACCTTTTCCCTTATATAAGCGTGTTTCGACGGCTTTTTGCCCCCCCCCCCCTTTTTGAGGCCTCAAACAGTGAAAAAATGTCCTATTTAGACCCCAAACACTGTTTTTCGTTTGAGAAATGTTGTTAAAAAAAGTGACCATTTTTTCGGCGCCGTCCCCCATCCAAATAATACATCAGGGGGTTGCCAGAAGGGGGATGTCGCCAAGAAAATTTTGGACTTGTGAGAGGCTTAAAATGACCCCAGGTTGATCATAAGGTAACGTGTAACCAACGCTGAAAAGCCTTTGACTCTATCTCAATCCCTTGAGAAGTTGCAGCACTTTGAAATAAATTTTGATGGAAAAAATCGAGGCAAAAAAGTGATTTTTGGCAATTTTGAGATGTCCCCTCGTTGCCAGGGTAACAGGAAATTTAAGACTGAGCATGTTGTTACAAAGGCAATGGTCCAGTCAACATTTGTACCAAGTTTGATTAGTATTGAAGCATTTTTCATAGTTTCATAGCAGTTTGAACTTGTAAGAGGAGGCTTTTCAGTGAAAATGGCCATTTTTCACAATATGCTCATGGGGGAAAGGGTTAAGGGATGTAAAAAAAAAATCTTGTGAAGCTATGAAATTATAAGTTGTACCTATGATTTTTAGAATTATGTTTTTAATCTCTGAATAATTTCAATTTTAATAAAAAAAAACGTTTTGGAAGTTCTAAATATTGAAGGAATAATATTTTGGATATAGAAATATTTTGTGAAATTCCAGATACTATTGCAATATTTTTTTTCAATTACAATATTAATCTGATTTCTCTGTCATTATAAATTTTATGTAGAGATTAGCTTTTAATTTCAAGCTAAATGTTTTACCCTCTCTTGGCACTTGCTGATAATTCAGTGCAGAATATGTGCCTAAGGTGTGCCTGTGGCCGAGTTAAAGTTAATGCTATTGACTTGAAATCACTTGCCCCACACCACTGTTGAGTCGAAGCCCACCATGGACGTTGGATTCTTTCATGTGAGGAAAGCTGTCGAGTTCGCTTACAATATGTTGATTGTTTTACTCAGGTTTCTGCCTGTGCCTGAAATAAGGCATGGAGAGACACCTAACGTCTGCCTTCCTCTATTAGCAAAGCTGGAAAGTCACCATAATAATTGTGATCTTTAAACATATAGCAGTGACTTATTAAGAAAAATATGGGTACAAATGCAGTCACCATACCAGGTTTAATGCTATAAGTTGCTAAAAGTAAGTGCTACAGTATGAGCATTTCAATGAAAAAAAAGTTTTTTTCTTTTTAGTCTAAATTGTTGTTATTTTTATGTATGTGATGAATAGGATATTATGATGATATAGATTAATTACCCAATTAATTAAACATATTTAAATAATAAAAAATGTTTTCCGCAGACTCGCTGGATTAAACTTTATTTAATTTGTTTTGTTCAGTAAATTCAGCATGTATCATACACACATTTAATGTGTACAAAGTTACCAGTATATTTGTGTGATACCTGTAGTTTACAAAGTTATTTTTAATATTGAAAAAAAAATCCATAAAATTATTCATATACATGTACAAAATCATTGCTACACAGATTAAACCTTACTTAAAATATCAGAATGTTTGTTTTGTTCCGGAACATGAAATAATTATGTTCTGTTTACAAACAAAATTCATGTTTGATAAAAAAGTACTATTTTTTTCATATATAACTTGATCCAGAACCGATTATAAGATTATATGGATTATATGGACACAACCGGATTTCACTGCTTTTAACCAATATAACAATATTTCATAAGACACAACCGGATTTCACTGCTTTTATCTGATATAACAACATTTCCTAATATACAGCTTTATACCCTTAAATATTTTATCTATAATACAGGAATAGCAAGACCAAGCCGTGGTAATTTAAATGAAGAGAAAACAACAGCTGTAGATAAAACCTTACCAGCTGCTGTGGGAAAGAAAAGAAGCCATTATAAACATTTAGGGCGACGGAGAAGCTCGTCTGAAAATGACCTTGATATTCTATGTTTAACACGTTATCAGGAAGACGCAGACAAGTTGAAGACCATAAATGTTCGACATAATTCAGAGATGAATTTAGAACTGTTAGAAAAGGAACGTCACATAAGTTCATGTGATTCAGACGTATTACTGGATCACGTTCTTGAAGACGAGATAGAGCAGGAATTAGAGGCAAATGCACGTCGCGAAAGCGTGAAATTGTTAAACGAGGGTGACATTGTTGAATTTGTGAAAAACAAAATAATAGAGAGGAGATTAAGCGACAAGGCGTGTAAAGTGAAAGAAGCAAAAGATGTGATATCAGACACAAGTTTGAGTGATGACTCTGCGGGGACAAAAGCCTTATCGAAGAAGATAAGAAACAGTATCTCTTCACAGCAATCAGACGGGACTAAAAATGGCAGCTGTAGTTCTCGGACGGCAAGGTGTGATAGTGTAGAAGACGAGTTTGAAGCCAAGCTAGAGGCTCGAGCCAGAAGAGAAAGTATCGTAAATACTGACATTGAACAAAAAGCCTTGAAGATCCTTGAAAGTAAGATTGGTAAAGCTGATACAGAGGTTACACAAAATGGTGATACACTTCATGACGGTGAAATTGTGAAGATTTATCTTGATGCGGTAAAAGATCATATACATGAGGAAAGACTGGAAAAATTGGCAAGAAGAAATAGTTTACTAGGAATAGATGATGATCACTATGATGATAATTATGTATCAAGCAGTCCGTCAATGTCTGTTACGCCAGTTTATACGCCTAATGGTTTATTCCAACCAGACACTTCAAATATGTTTCCATCACCTACCAATGAGGAAAAGAAAGACGGTCAAGAGAAACAAACAAAAACCACAGCTTTAGGCATGTCCATTGACAGTACTGAGGAAAACGTTGTTGTTGATAACGTATTGATGGAATCTGTGGATGAAACTTTTGAACCAGTTGAAAACAATGAAGCTGTTCCACTAGATGGAGATGTACTTGGCAGAAGGAGGAGGTCTAGTGTAATTGAGGATATCAGTATATTATGTTCAGACTGCAGAGCTATGAAACAGAAATGTCGGGAGTGTGCAAAGTTACTGAAGAGTCAGGAGTCATTGAGAAGGTTGTCCAGGACCGAATCGGCCGATAGCGGTTTAGTCGGAAGTTTCACTAGCGAGAAAAGGTCAGTGACGAAAAAGGTTGGAAAACTTAATGGTATAAGAGACCTTAGTCAAGAAAGTAGTACTGCCGAATGGTTAAATCATAATGGTGACGTAACCGGAGATAATACTAGTCATGAAAAACTGTGCAATATGAACGAGGTAGCGGAAAAAAATGATGTGTGTACGGACTCTATAAGAGAGAAAAACAAGCAATGTTGTGATATGAGTAACGAGGGAGAGCAGTGTAATGGTGATTTAAATGATTGTTATGGGGACGTTACTAGTCCACAGGTGAAAGTGTTTCCAAGTGGGAAGTCGGATAAAAGGGACTTTACGCGGCAGGAGAAAGTGGGATATTGGCTGCATTCATTGTCACAAACAAAGAGGATGGATAATGATGGGATAAGGTCAGATAGTCAAGAGGAAGAAGCGAATAGGCTCAAGCTTGATGCTGGGAACAAGGAACGGCATGCCACTGAATGTAAACAAGCTGGGAAGTATGACAAAGAGAACATTTCAGAGGTTAATACAGGGAGCAGGTCATCCTGTGAAAATTACAGAAAATCTTCCAAAGGATCTGTGGGAGATGAAGAAGTGTTTTTCAGTGCCGACGAATCACCGAAACATGTTGCAGGAAAAAGTAGTCCCGAGAGACCAATGTCTTTGAACCTGTTGCGGAAGGTTACTACAGGAATCCGGGGCAGTAATAAGACACAGAATGTAGGGCCATCTGAAAGGTTGGCGTCTGGTGGGTCTGAAGATAGTTCAGGAAAAACACGTCCGTCTGTGTCTGAAATTCATGTCAATAAACATGACCCAGGTATGTTAACTACTTCAGCCGCGCCATGACAAAACCAACATAGTGCGTTTGCGACCAGCAAAGTTCAAAACTAGCCTGGGCATCTGCACAGTCTGATCAGGATCCATGCTGTTCACTTACAAACCCGTTCACAAGTAGAGAAACTGATAGCGAACAGCTGCGAGGATGCGCAGGCTGGTCTGGATCCATACTGGTTGCAAATGCACTATGTTGGTTTTGTCATGGGGCGACTCATTTGTTAGTTCTAAATGTGTGTTTATGTTTGTGTAACTTGTTATTCATTGTCACTTTGATATAGGTTAATAACATTCATAAAGTGTTCAGCGAAATAACATTCACAATCTGTGTGTAAGACCTAGATTCCTACCTCCAAGGTCAAGGTCATACTTATAGATTAAAGGTCAGCATTTATAAAATCTTGTCCGGCCCATAACTCTGTCATGCATCAAGGGATATTGAAATAACTTTACGCCAATGTACAGACAGTATGACATGTGCAAGACCTAGAATACAAGCTCTAAGGTCAAGTGAAAGTGGTACACGGGGCTAGGGGCAAGGTTTTTTTTTTTATTATATATGAATACAGACTGACATCATATTTTCTAGATGCCCAGTTCATTTGTAGATGCCCAGTACAGACTTGATTTCACCATATGTTATCATTATTTTCTAGATGCCCAGTATAGACTTGATTTCACAAGTGTACATGTTGATACAGATGTGGAGTCAGAGAGCAACGCACCAAACATATTTGTGTTAGGCGAGGACAGCCTTGAGAAACGTGCGCGACTTGGCAGTGGAGACTCGCGTAAACAATCTCTTGACCTAGGTTCCATCCAAGAAAACTGTACGTGGCTAGAGTCAGTCGGCAAACAGTCTGAAAACGATGAAAAGTCTATCGCGTCTTCAGGTTTGAAAACAGAGAGACAGAAAATTTTCGAGTTTCTAAAAACTCCAAGTTTGGCAAGCCGGCACGCTTCACTCGGCTTGAAAATAATTGAAGATGATTTGGAATGGACAGATTTGTTTAGTGGTCACTGTACGACACCTTCTCCTACAAGGTAAAAATTATGCTTTAAAATAACACACCTTCAGTCATGTGTTAGATAAAGCTTTTAAAGAAATTATCTTCGAGACATATTTTTAAGTACATATTAACCACAATGCGAGTATGTCATTAAGCCATTTCATTAATCAAAGCACAGAAGGCGCTGAATTTGTTTGGGTCTCTGACTCAGAATGTCAGAAAGGTGAAGGTTGTGAGATTATTAAACAATTTGTTTTTGTATAGTGCCACAACTGCTTTCCAGCGTTTAAATTGTAGTAGACTGGCTATAAGACTAATTGCAACACTGATATTTGATCCAATGTTTATTTGACTTAAACAATTTGAAAAAAAAAATGAGTTGCCTCAACTGGGATTTGAACTCCAGACCTCTCGCTTCTTAAGCGAGCGTGCAAACCTCTCGGCCACAGAGAATTGATAATTTTATGTTAATGGCCTGAAGAAAACCATATTATTCTAAATTAGGGTTTGTAAGGCCGCTAACTGTTGTTTAACACTTGTGTTAATAATCATGGTGCTTACCATAAGCATGTTTATCTATAAAGAATAAAACATTATATGAGAAATCTTCGACCATTCAGAAGTTAGTTTGCTTGAAAATTAATGCGCCTGTCATGTGACCATATTTACGCAGTGATCTCCCCTGAATTTTTCGGCCTTAATGTTACATATAAAGGGAAGTAACCGCTTCAAAAAAGCGGACTTCTTTCGGCATTTGCAATTAACAGCATTAGAGTCTGAAATTTCGCTACCATTATTTGTTTGGTCTGACGACCCAAACAAATAAAAAACAATATCACACTAGTGTAAATAACAATTTGATATAACGTTAATTACAGTATTATATGTCTTGTATGTATATTTGTATATAAATTACAGGTAAAACTTTGATTGTTTTTTGCAAAATATGACATAATTTTCTATTTTTGTGCCCCCACTTGGGTGGTGGGCATTTAGATTTACCCTTGTCCGTCCGTCCGCTCTCTTTTGTGTTGCACGTAACTCAAAAAGTATTTGACCTAGAGTCATGAAACTTTACAGGAATGTTGATCAGCATGTGTAGTTGTGCACCTGGGTCGTTTCGTTTTGATATTTTTAGTATTTTTAGAGTTATTGCCCTTGACTTAGAAAATTTTTGCAATTTTCAACTTGTGTCGCATGTAACTCAAAAAGGATTTGACATAGAGTCATTAAACCTTACGGGAAGGTCGCTCAGCATATTTAGTTTTGCACCTGGGGTTTCGCTTGTGGATTTATCCAGTATTTGTTATTTCCCTTGACTAAGTAAAAAAACGTTTCATTGAGTCATAAGATTGACAGAACAGTGGCGCGGTGGGGGCACCCGTGTCCTATGGACACATTTCTAGTTATACCTCTACCAAACATAGTTTGTAGGGGTGGGGGTCCTAATAGGAGTCAGTTTGTCTCGCCCTGTCCCGCCCTGTCCAGCCCTGCCCTGTCCCACCCTATCTCAGGTACCAGTCTCTAAGAGATAATAATTTGAAAGTTGAAATATCAATGCAATATCACAATGCAATTGGATGTGTCAAGTTTGATAACTCTGAACAGTAATTTGACATAATTATGCCCCCTTTTAACTTAAAATATATCCCATTATTAAACATCTCTGGAACGGGTATTGATTTGAACTTTAAACTTACAAAATTAATGAATAATTACATCTCAGTGCAGTTCCATATGTCAATATGGATAACTCTGTTTTTTAATATGACATAAATAAGACCCATTTTAACTAGGAAATTTCATTGTTCTGGAATAACTGTGGAAGCAATATGCAGCTTAACTTGAAATTATATATATACATGTCCATAATTTATGTGAAAGAAGATAGACAATCTGTATAGTCCTTTTAATTAAAAAAATTAACTTAAAGTGACATTGTGCTCATCCATTTATCAATGGTGGGTGCACAGTAAAAGTTAAAATACTTTTACATTTTGCCATAATTGTGTTCAATTTTATATTTTATACTATGCAAAAATAAACAATAATCTGTATGACCGGGGGACATTGCTATATATATATTAGAAATGAAATGGTTATGTTCAATTTCAAAAACGAGTGGGGCAGTCTTTTCATTGTTTAGGTATTTGTATTCTATATTAAGCATTTTATCAGTTATTTGTCAAACACCATTATAATACAAATGAGCCGGTCACGTCAAAACCAACATAGTGCGTTTGCGACCAGCATGGATCCAGACCAACCTGAGCATCCGCGCAGTCTGATCAGGATCCATGCTGTTTGCTATCAGTTTCCCTACTTGTAATAGAGTTGGTAAGCGAATAGCATGGATCCTGATCAGACTGCGCTGATGCGCAGGCTGGTCAGGATCCATGCTGGGCGCAAACCCATTATGTAGGTTTTGTCGTGACGCGGCTCAAATGTAGTCAATCTCTTGAAATATATGACTTATAGATTTTCATGTTGACAGCAACAAAATGAGCATAATCTCACTGTAAAGGTTAGATTACATACACATGTGTGACAAGGCAGAAGCAAATTCTCTTGCTTGTGTAAATTAATACTGAATTATTCCCCTTTTGTGAAATTCTTTTCTTAGTTTTTCTGGCTAACATACTATCAAGCACTGAGAATATTTCAGCCCGGCTCATGTTTTTATTCATTAATTAAAGCTCATTGGTTGATGTTTCTTTTAGCACTACAGATCAACGCCTTGCCGATTTTCTACGCACACCTAGCATGAGCAGCAAGCCAAGCTCCCTCTGGTCAAGTTACGAGAACATTTCTACACCATCTCACGTTGACGACTCCAAGTTCCTCCGACCAATGCCTGTACATAGAGGTAGACTGAGTCATAGTCCAAGTACTGCGTCTATGGGTTAGTTACCTTACTTGCCATTATATAGTAGATTTACATAGTGACTTGCCATTATGGTTGGTTCATCTGATTGCCTTTAAAGCAGATAATATTTACTTGCCATTATAGCAGAATTTACTTACTTGACATTATAGCAGAATATACTTACTTGACATTATGGCAGATTTACTTACTTGCTTGGCTTTAATGCAGATTTATTTGCTTGCCTATGATGCAGATATTTTCACTTGCCATGATGGATTTTTTTACTTGCCATTCTGGCATATTTATTTACTAATATTATTAAGGCAAAATAATATTTCTTTGTCAATTAAGCTGATTAATTTACGGAAAATTCAGTATCAGTCGCAATGTTTTAATTTTAGTTATTCACGAATCTCAGATGCGTCATGAATTCATGATGCCGCATACATTTTATAACATGATAATTTATACATTATATAAAATTATATCTACAAAATTATATCCTATAACAATATTGTTCAAAATGTGATTGATCAAGTTTGATATTGGATACATTATAACCAATTTTAAAATAATTAATACAATTTGTATGTGCAATGTTGTTTTTTTACATGATAATAAAAGTATGTAAGTGTTTCAAATTCCTTTTTTTCTTCTCAATATATATCCGACGGCTATATTTTAGCATACGGCTGCTTAGGGGATATACATGTATTCTAAGTCTCATAAATATATCCATGATAGGTTTTGCTTTCTAGATCATTTGCTATAAGAACAACCTGACTACCGTTCTTGAGTAGACGCTGTGTTTCTCTGATAGGGGAGACTGGGGTACTCTGGGACATGGGGCACTGCGGGACAATGGGTTTTTTTGATAGCTTTTGTTCTTTGATTTAAAACTGATTTATGCAGATGATTGATCTTGTCAAGCTTTTTTCCTTTCAAAAGTTTCATAGCAGCAAATTGAGTAAAAATCAGTCTGGCGAGTACAATGCACTTTTTACCTTTCAAAGTGAAATTCTAGAAAAGTCCTATATAGCTTTCAAATTCTTCTACATTGAATACTTATTTGTATCATATTAGTAAATGATAATATGCTTAACATTGCCTTTATTTTCTGATTTGAAATAAATCTTGGTTTGGTTGTCTTTTTAAATTATTGTCACATAAAAATGGTGGGGGGTGGTTGGGGTACTCTGGGACAACATTCTTTTGGATTAGACTTTCATGCGTATCAAACTCAAATTGACCTTTGATCTTTTATGACCTTGACCGTTAGATTATTGCACTTTCACTGATTTTTGCCATAATTGATTGTAACTTGGTAATTAATAAATGAATTATCTTCATGTTTTGGCAAAACAAAATTTTGGACAAGAACTTTTGAAAGGATGAACTGACCTTGACCTTTGAATGACATTGACCGTCATGGCCAAATTATTGAATTTTGATTGTCATATTTTGTCATTATGGAAGAATTTGATTCATGTGTGGACAAAACAACACTTGTGATCAAAGAAACATATGGAATAATTTAGATATGTTCTTGACCTTTAAATGACAATGAACGTCAAATGAATGAATTAAGATTATATTTTCCTAACTTTGTCATTCATTAATATGGCAATGATTCATGCTTGGACAAAACAAGTGTGACTATACGCACCTATCAAAATTAAAATAAAAATAGAGAAATTTCAATAGAATTCCTACAGAAAGCCCAAAACAGCAAAATTGAAAATGTTGCAGGCTCAGTTTGATTTCAAATCTGTTCATAAACAGTAATGGAAAGTGCAATTAACCGCCCCCTCCCCCGCCCCCACCGGCTTAAGCAGAATTCCACATTGAACATGCACTGGAACATCTAGATTTTTGAAACAACCGCAGATTTTCAATTCCAGTAATATTTTAGTTTCAATGAAATTATACATGTTGTCCTACGTACTCAAACATGTCCCACTGTACCATATATGGTGTCCCACAGTTCCCCTAGCTCGGGGTACTCTGGGACATTTTAATGACCGTATTCTAATGTATATCTCCAAGTCAACCTAATTATTTTAGGTTCAGTTAGTTATCTGTTACATCCAGCACATATTGTCCTTTTCATCCACGAAAGAGAGCATCAATCCTTAAGATATGTTAAGTAGGAGATTGAAAAATATGATTTTTGTCCCAGAGTGCCCCAGTCTCCCCTATTGATGAGAACAAAAACGCTTTTTGTATTACCTAATACAAGTGCAGATCTATATATATACTTTCATATAATACTAGTTTTCGGCATTTATTTCCACACAATGTCATGTCAGCTTCAGTATTTCCGCCAAAGTCTCGCATAATATAATTTTATTCAACTGGTTCAATAAATTGAGTATTAAACCTACACTCATTCAATATCCTCTGTATATCAATGACTTGAAACAGTCAATCTTGGCATTATAAGTTATGTTTTCATTTTGTGTATCATTGTATCTATACAGGGAGTGATAATGATCTGTTGTATAATGTTGATCTCAACTTGGAGGCCAAGATGAAAATATCAGATAAACCTGTTAAATGTCTTCTATCCACAGTGTAAGTACACTTTTACTTTACCTGTTAAATGTCTTCTATCCACAGTGTAAGTACACTTTTACTTTACCTGTTAAATGTCTTCTATCCACAGTGTAAGTACACTTTTACTTTACCTGTTAAATGTCTTCTATCCACAGTGTAAGTACACTTTTACTTTACCTGTTAAATGTCTTCTATCCACAGTGTAAGTACACTTTTACCTTACCTGTAATTTTAACTGAATCATGTAGCATTTTAGGTGATTTGAATATATCAGTTTCAAGTAAGACCTTATTGTTTTCAATTGTACTAATTGTTTAATTCAGGTGTAATCTAACGACTTAATTGTATTCAAATTTTTACTAATTGTTTAATTTAGGTGCAGTTAGGATCTTATTGTATTAAATTAACTAAATGTTTAATTCAAGTGCAATTAGGACCTAATTGTATTCAATTTACTTATTGTTTAATTCCGGTGCAGTTAGGACCTTAATTTATTGTATTCAATTTACGAATAATTATATTCAGGTGTAATTAGGACCATATCTTATTCAATTTACTTATTGTTCAATTCCGGTGCAATTAGGACTTTATTGTATTCAATTTACGTATCATTAAATTCAGGTGCTATATTAACTGAATGATGTGTGTGGTATATTTATAGATGTACATAATTTGAATATTTCAGGTGTAATCAGGAGCCAATCATCTTGAGTTTCTCAGGGTCATTTGGAGATGATGAGGCCGTCCTGAAATGGAAAAAACTTGAAAATGAGGTAAAAAGACCTCTGATTCTAAGTTTCTTGTGTCTGCCAGAGACATATACTAAACATATGTATTTTAACATCTGTGTCGGCCCACTTAGCTCAATAGGTAGATAGGATCAAATTAGTAATCTAGGGGTCGCTGGCTCGATTATCGGTTATTAAGGAAAGATGGTAAGGTGGGTTGAAGCCAAAATATGCCCAAAAACTATTAGAAAAAAAAAATAAACATGAAAACCCAAATACAAAAAAAGCCAATCGAATTCGTCGTTTCCATTGTAGAAATGCATTTCCATTGAAACTTTAAAAGAATAACAACATTAACATGAAAAGATTTCTTGGGCATAATGGGCCTTTAAAGGAAATGGCTTTTATTTTTTATGAGAAATAGAAAGAAAATTTAGTAAGGTGATTTAAGTTTTATGAACAAACATTATTTATATTTTCACTCTATATGGAAATAATTAGACTTACTTAAGAGGAGTTTTAATTAGGTCAAAGAGCCTAAAAATATAAAATTTCAAAACCTGATATAGATCAACTGAGCATTATAAAATGGAAAAAATGTGCAAAAGATAATAAAGAATATAATCAGAATAAATTGCAAATGGAATTTTACTTAGTGCGATTCTTGCCCTGAATAGAGTTCATATTATACACCTATTCATACTTGGGTCATTTTAATGATTATTCTTAAAAAATATGGAGAAAATTAACTCGGTTTGGACCAACATCAAAATTGCAATTATACAAAAATCAGAAGAAAACAACAAAAAAACAGTCCCGTTGTGGCATCTTTTTAAGAATGAAACATTGTAATATTTATTTCAATGTAAATTAAGCTTTTTGACCCGAGGGATGTAAAATATTTGAGCAGGGAAATGACAATACCAACAAAGTGCGTTTGCGACCAGCAGTCTGATCAAAATCCATGCTGTTCGCTATCAGTTTCTCTTCTTGTAATTAGGGTTGGTAAGCGAACAGCATGGATCCTGATCAGACTGCGCGGATGCACAGGCTGGTCTGGATCCATGCTGGTTGCAAACGCACTATGTTGTTTTTGCCGTGACTTGGCTCATATTTTATAGATTTTTTCTTCTTTTTTTTTCAGCAACTGTGGACAAATGAGCCGGTACTTGAGCTATGTCCGAAGACGAACATGACAATATTACCGAGCTATATGCGGCGTCGTATGTCTAGTAATACTTCTAGTCACTGTAGTGGCGGCAGTCGCGGCCACAGGGATTAAATCGTTGATGTATCTATGGCATCAGTGTCTCAATGTGTCAATCGCTAATTATAACTGCACAAAGACAAACATACAGATTTTATTGTGCATTCCCTTGTCCACCTGGAAAAAGGAAAGTAAACTGTGACTGCGTTAGGAGGCGTGAGGGATTGTGTACTTGTATTTCTAGTCAGCTTGCTGTATAATAATTTAGGAGACCATTTAGACACCGTATGACTATGCCTAGGTAACGTTCTGTTATAATAGTGTGACATTTTTAACCTTTCTTAGAAGAACTGAAGCTCTATAGGTATATAAACAATTTTATTTCTTTTAGATAAAATAAGGACTTAAAGTGGAGGGACACTGTGTAGAACTACATTAAATTATTATAGATGTACGATAGTATTGAATATGTAAATAATTCATCATTTATTCAAGACTGTAAGTAATTTATGGCTAGAAAAATGCACATTGTTTTAAAACTTTATGAAAT